GTGCGACCAAACCGGTTGTTGGCATCTGAAATACCGAACATAACGCTGCGAAATGATTCCAGTAAGCTAGCACGAGGTCCCTCCCCTGTTGTTTGTTAATCAGATGCCTGTTGATCTGTTCGCCGAACTTGACAATGGACTTGCCAATGTTTCGTTGCCATGCAAGGGACATCGAGAATGCGCAGTTGGGTGGGTAATTCCTGTTTGCCTGTGTGCATTTATAAGGTATTCAAAGGCTGTCGGTTATCTGCTGAAGTGCTTGACCTGTTAATTGACAGGGTCTTTGTTGAATTTACTGGTCCGTTAGCCATCTTGGTTGCAATGTGGTTTGCGTTTCTTGAAGTGGACTGGTCATCTCGAATACCTCAGTCTCAGTAGTCTTCTCCTCAGTTTCGATTTGCCTTTTTCTCGATTCGTATTGATGAAACATCGGCGGGCCAATTGCCAAGTTCGGCGGGCTACTAACATTTCGACAATTTCACTTCCCTGTCCGCATTTATTATTTTCCTCACAATAAGGGTTTCAAATCAATCACGGTTGCAAGGCAGTGAAGCATGGGTGTTGAACACTGTCATGATTCGATGAAGGTGCTGATGTTGCGGTGGTAATACAATTTCGCTCATTTGGAATCACAGAACGCGGGCACTAATATGCGCACAGTCACGCTGAGTACCAAAGAACAAATGGTGTAGTAAACCGGCTTTAATCGATCGGTATTAGTTTCATTCAAAAAAATTCGTATGTGTCCTGATTTGGTTGGAAGAAACCCTCTCTACATGTACACTTTAGAAGAATTCACCTACAGACATTTTGAATTTACCTTCAGCCTCGCCAGATGATCTATGGCTATTGAGGCATCAAAATGGCATGTGAGCTGATTGTTTAAGTAGCTTTGTAGCCGACGTAAATGGAAGAACGGGAAGTCACGCGGACGAACGCCTTTATTTCGGTGGGATCAATGTGGTCAGTCTGAAAGTACTGAAACGGGAGTTCGTGGGGGCAGTATTTTTCTTGAGATTGTCAACAAATTTGCACTCCATTTCGTTTAGTAACCTACCCACTAGTTAGCTCCACGGTCTGCTGTGCTTGTTCTCTATGAAGTATTCCGCGATTTGTCCAGCTGAGTCTTCTAGCCTAAGGAAGGCAAATCTTACGATTTGTCATATGGCTAATTAATTTCGGTTTTGCTTGCAAAAAGTACCCAAACCCGCGTTCATTCAGGCGGTGCAAACAACTTGGGATTGCTGAATGTATGGCAACGGTTGGATGTTTTCGCCGCGAAATATAAGATTTTTATCAACTCACCTTTAAGTTTGCAGAACAAGGCACCGCCCAAACCTACAAAAAGTAACACACGCAAGACAATCTTAGCAAACTAGTTCAATCAGGTTCACGTAACAAGTGATGAAGGCTTCAGCATGAATGGGGAACACGGCGCTGAAGTGTATGTTTGTTTGCATCGGCAACGAGCTGCAACAATTTCGCTCAAATTATTGTCACCTTAAAAATTTGGAAACGCGTCGATAACCAAAAATGGGTGTAAGCCAAAAGCAGCCTTTGACAACTCTTTTACTGATGTTTAACAACCTGTCGGCAAATATTCTCCCCCACTCTCCCCTCTGCACACAAACTCAATTTTGACAAAATTTCTCCACTATTTTAACAGCCAGCCTTACGAGTACTTGTTACGTTTACCCTGCCTGTGTGATCATTTACATTCCGGCTGCCATATGATTAGCTCAGACATCAAGAAACTTTCCAAAATGAAGCTGACGATCTTCATGTTCTGTAATCCTAACTCATACTTCTGTCATATGAGCACAGTTGGTAGAGCAACTCGTTCACCTTTGTTTGGCAGTTGGCAAATAACTGATTTGTTCTACCTCCTGATCAGTATGAGACGTTTCTCCCAAACAATTAAAAGTTTACAACGGTTACCTGTGGAGATGTTGTGCTTATATTTCCAAACACGCCAAAGCTCACGTGTGCACCCACTACAAAGAGACCGGGCCCAATCGCGAACTGGTGGTTCGTGTACCTCAGCGACATACTGAATTTTCCGTCAGTGGAAAGTTCATTTATCCACCCACAGGATATATCGTACCGAGTTGCTCATTGATTAGAGATCTGAGATCAGAACCAAAACTAGTATCATGCCACATTCAGTGTAATTAACTTGATCGCCTTAGTTGCTTCATACAGAAAGACGGCTTAAAGAACCCACGCTCCAGCTGATGGCCTTCTTGCACACTTTCCGTTTTTCTTCGTCAATCCTACTCCAGCTTGATTTAAATATTACGTCTAGAGGTTCCAGTATAAGGCTGACAGATTTGCTTACCATGAATTATGCCCAGCTGCAGCTTGGCGCATCCAAGTTCACAGTAAATTTCAACACCTGGAACTTTGGTTTCAAACTACGAAACCAGTTTTCATAACCACCTTCATTATTTGTACGCAGAAACTAGCTCTTACTATCTATTGATTCGTGCTTTCCGTTTGAAAAAGACCAAGATCACCAGTTTCGCGACTTAAATGGACCCTCTCTAGCTCCATTTTCAATTTCAACCACGCAAATTGGCCGACATAGAGACCACTAAAAATGGATATACCGGCAAATCTAACGTGTTGAGGTATGGAGGATGGGCTTCTTCACTCAAATGCAAACTCGCTGAGAGTCATCCCAGCGAGGATCGTTTAGCAAGTCCAGAGTAAGAACATTGATAATGGGGGCGGTTTATTCGCTGTCTATTGTACCTGTATCCGACGGCCTACAACCTCGAGGCGGTCAACGGGAGTTATTATGACGCTCCAGGCGCTCTTCGAAGATAGCCTATAAGCTCAGTCCTCATTGTTTTGCCACTCACCCGACATCGAGGGTGCTGCTGTGGGCCAGTTTGGCGGATATTTGTGAGAAACAAAGTTCGCCCGCTTCAGATTCATGCCGATGGCATACTGTTTCATTGCAACGCCTATTTCCTGAATTGTGACTTGATATCTTGTGGCCCACAAACGAACCAGCTGCGTGACCACATCGTCCTCACTTAAGGCTGGCGAGGCTCGATTGCTGCATGTCGCTCGCCATGAGATATCTGCGTGAAATGCGATCATGCACTTATCCATTGATTATGTTCTCTGCGATTTTCAAGCCTACACAAAAGCCGCAATTTTCAGTTTGCACACAGCAGTCTAGGACTTCACGGACTCATGACCACCGAAGGACCCGATGTCCCATTCTCTGTCGCACAGTAGAGCAACTCGCATCAGTCCGATGGGACCGTGGCTTTCGTGGGGACCTCGCCGAACTGCTCATCAGGAGCCTCGTGTCGCTGAAACAAGCAGGGGCAAGAATGGCAATCTGATGTCCAACGAAAGGGATTGTTCGGACCATGGGGCACTGTGATTCAGAAAACGATGCAACTGACTATCTGCAAAACTCACTCCAACATGCGTGTGTGAAGCTACAGCAATGCCGGACTTGGCAGATTTTATATCTGCTCAGACTTCTTTATGCTCGTTGTCCAAGAGAACTTTAGTCTCAGGAGGCGAGCGCTGAGTTGTCCTAATTATGTGGATGTCCATTTCGTTGCCAGTGAGTCCACAGACAATATCCTCGTCGTATTCAGGGAAGAGGAAAGAGCACAAGGTTTGCCGAATAAATTGAACCCTAATTTATACGTTTCGATGTGCGAGTTGGAAGTGTGGAGTGCATCATTCTGACTGATGGCGTGCAGAATATGGGAATGCTCCTTGGAATTTTGCACATCTCGGTAGATGTACTTGCTCTGGCGGAAGATTTCGAGGTGATCAATGCACAAATGTCGGGTTTGAGAAGCTTGATTGCATACTCGACTCGCTTTAGGCGCCTGAAAGACATGCCACTGAACCTTGGGTGCCGCAGACTTCAGGCCATATCGACGGCTGCATCATTATATGTTTGAGATGCATGACCTGTTTCAGACGGAGTTGTTGACAGCGCCTTCCTTGGGCAATTTCTCAAAACTACTGCTGTGAGCGGGTGCCCGTGGACGAACCGAGAAACGGTAATTTGGTTGTCTGGCAGGTACCTCAGTCACGCGGAAAAACGTCCATTGGGAGAAACTCTGGCGACGCGGCCTAGAGCTACGCATGTCAGCACTGCGTCTACTTAGACGAGTGCTATCACCTTCCAACAGCGAAGACTATGGGATGGCCATAATATAATATGACGAACGTGGGTGAAAGAGATCACAAAGAGTGTGGGTTATGATGGTGCGTCACACTTTCCAGTACAGGGGACTCCCACGACCGATTCATGCCCCTGGCTGTGGGAAGAACTAGAAGCATAGCCTCATCAATGTGGATGTCCTTTGCGCTGTCAGCCTCCTCCCACAAGGAGAGGTGTAAGCACTTTAGTTTCCTAAAAGTCCCCGACCTCCCTCATTCATTTTTTCGCTTCCCTTTACTTTAGCCACAGTTAAGTAATCAGTATGGTTACACGCAAGCGAAGTATCGGTGTCAACACTGATTTTGACGCCTCTGGTGCTGATGATGATCAGCGTGGTGAGATGTAACGAGAGAACATTCAGCTAATACCACTCGACAGTTGAGCCATGGAAACTAGTTAAAAAAACCATCTAATATTTTCCCATTTCGGCCGGTTAAACGGTCCGTTGGCAGTGTAGTGGTAGGCGCAAACGCGTGCTGCTTGGTGAAGCACATCACTTCTTGGCTTGACCATCGGTGAGCTGAGGTTAAATGCACTTCATACTCACTGGAATAACACCATTTTCTGCTGCTGTTAGATTTCTGTGTTGCTTCTAAAAGGTTGATTGACGATCTGTTTGTAGGATTACGCGGCAACGTTTTTGACTCTTATCGGGCTGGCACGGTACAGCGAAAGCAATTGTGTCCGGATGGTCGATCTACTGCCAAGACACATGTATTCCGATGTTTAAAAGGACACACATTTTTCAAATCAAAGCGTGATATTAGGAAGGTCACAAGTGTGCGGCTTACTTTCGTAGTACTTCACGGAAACGATTATACATTAAATGCGTTGAAATTGTCACGCAATCAATGCGTTGCGGAAAGTATCAGTTCGTTTTCCTCTTGGAAGCACGTCTGCCAATCTAGGTCGTACTCAGGCCCCAGAACGAGTAGTTCACCCTAGCCAGCCAAATTTGGTTTCTACCTAAGGACATCGGGAACCCAGCACCGACCACGAACAAATGCCGCCTCTGCGCCTACTCGTATTTATTTCTGGATACTCACAACAAAGTGTTACTTAGCGAATCAGTGTTAGTATTTGAAAACAGATGCTTCATTGATGGTTGCGAAGAATGTGGTACAAACTGCCAGTTAGTATTCCCATATTCCGAGTACTTTGGGGTCCAGCGATTACTTGGTTTAGCATCACTGCTTAAGCAAAGTAAACTTGTTTTCTATCATACTAGCTTTTTACCGGTGATCCATTTATGCATGGTTTCTGCGAACACCTTGTTTCGTAATCCCACCCACATGCAAATGTTTATTCATTTTATAGCGGTTGTTGTTCTCCATGCATCTAACATACCACTAATGTTATTTCCCGTTAACGTGTCAAATGAAAAACGGGCTATCAATGAATGGCATATTTTAAGAAGCGAGCAATAATAGTAGAGGTGTTATCTTAAGGTGCAAACAAGAAAGTCGCTGATATCAGGTGATCCACGAACAGTCAACAATTTTCAGGTTTCGAAACCTTCAACTACACGGAATTTCACAGTGAGCAGTTCAAAATTGCAACATTTCTTTCATGGGCCCACGCCCGCACAAGTTGATGCCTTTAAAGCGTGTGCAAAATTCCAACAGATACTACATCGTCCGCGCGCCGGTCGTCGGACGTGCGCTGGCGGTGGGNATGGAACGCAGATTCCACCCGGTGTCCGGTGCAACGGTCGGCGCACCCAACTCTACATTTAAGCGTGCGCCAGCCGTTGTGTTCATCCAACGGGATGAACAAAGAAGCTATCTGATACAGGCATCCGATCAAGCCTGTCCATTTGAACACCCGCTTCCATGGGTTTTCATGCGGTCGAAGCAGCTATAATCGAAGTAATATTTTACCTCTTTTGTGATAAAACAGTGAGTGGTGACAAAATCACCTAACCAGGACAGTTTCAACAGTGAGGTCAGTGTTCTGTAGTTCTTCTAAAAAGGAACCACAGATAGACATTGATGAGTCATGGGCATACACGAAATTTCTGAGAATATTCTAGGAACACTTTCAAGCGTGGCGAGCGGCGTGATAACTGGGTTGTATCGGGTAAGCTGTAAAATGTAGGCTAGGGGCACGTTGGTGGAATAACCAGTTTAACCATGGTTAACGGGCGGTTGACCGATCAGCTGGATAGCCAGGTAAGGTTTTGTAATCTAGGGTAGGCATTTTTCACTTTGTTTTCGACAGCATTATCATAATGTTTAAAATAGGCGCATCAAGTCATGTGACCGTAAGCCATTTTATGTGTCTCTTTTGCGGTCTGTTGTTGGTTGTGAATCCAAGCGCAGCGCTTGATTCTGCCTTTTCTTCTTCTCGCAGTAATGACCCAAACATCCAACCGGATAGAGATTTTTTTCAATTTATGCACTGACCTTTTGTTTATCTACACTTTAACGTGAAAATGTCGGACTTTTGAGAATCTCGAGGAAGTTATCCCGGCGGAAAATTTCCCATAGGCTGTAACGGTGACCAACAATTTCATCGTTGAGAAAATCAGTCAACTGACAACTACGTGAAGCACAAAGCAATGCAGAACTGGCTTACTGACAACTGCCGATGTGAGCAAGGTGGACGCTGTAAAATATGCCAAAATAAGTTGAGCGGCCATCACTATTGGCTCAGATGTTGAACACATCAAATTCGCATCAAATTCTGAGGGATATTTGCATCCCATAATTTACTGTACACATGTTTGTGGGTTTAGGCGAACGGAGCAGATAGAAGAGCTCACCATCTTTGACGCTATCTGGGTTCTCTGTAGTGAAGCGATGGCCCACCACATTCATAAATGAGAGATCCAGCTCAGTCTTGGTACATATTCAGCGGTAGAACCTAGACGTCAAAGTGCGCCGATGTGCTGTCCTCAGTCAGTCGCTAGTCACGTGTCCTAACGGGTCTAACTGTTTCCAGTTACATGCCGTTTCGTGGGACCTACTTCAGTATACAAGGACGACACGAGCGTGGCAAATTGTGCTCAACGCCAAAACCTAGTCGCAAGTGTATGCACGTTAATTGCGTAATACACGCGCTTGCCTCAGCCACTGGACATGTGATACTGACACCAATCATCCTCTGTTATTATTCCGTCAGTCTTGTATCCCCTGAAGCTTGGGGCGTCGAACAATTTCATTCAGTGTATTCCCTGCGTAGTCGTCAATGTTTTCAGCATAAACCAACAGCCCAGATCGCCTACACCCTCTCAGGTCTTTTTAATCGACTTCAGAAATGAAGTATCCAAATGAAAACTTTCGGTGTCTTGCCGTGCAACACCCAAAGTCCCAGTGATAAATCTGTGCATAGCTAAACCAGTCTACCCAAAAGTCGATCACAGGTTTAACATGACAATGCATAAATAACCTGGCAAACAAAATACGTGTGTGTTCAAAACCGTCTCCGTCCATCACTGTATGCAATCTACACATTTTTCTGCCAAGGTCCCTAGGTCTTGGAAAATAGTCAAAATATTGTAGCACTTTTGCTCTACTTTCTGCTCGCGAGATCAAAACAACGCTTCAAGGTTTCGAATACGCATTTACTCATCCACTCAAAATGTTGTTGCTACGTGCAAACTGTGAAAAAACGAAATTTCCGAAACTTGATTCCATTACTCCGAATCGGTTGTGTGGTAATTTGCCGAACGTTTGAGTGAGATAGACCTGTCCAACGAAATTGCAATTCCTACTTTTATGTATGACATGGTTTATATGCACTTCTTGCGGCACATCCTACTAGAGATCTGGAGGAAATTTCTGATGAGGTTCATTTATATATATACAAGTAGATATGTGTATTTATTCATTTTTATTTTTATATATGGAAAAGCAAAATGCAACTGCACAATGAGAGGCAAACTTACTGATTTCTACCTCCGCAAACGTACGCCTTGGGAGAACTGGAAACAAGATTATCGAATGCATTTATTTGAGAGTCACCATGCACTTGTAAGTAACTCGCCATCAGTGAGTTCCGGAGAAAATGTTTTGATGGGGCTTTTCCACGACTGGCAGTTCGTTTCATTTATTGGCCTCAAGGCTACCCAAAGCATAATTTTGAGTCTACTAGGCAGTTTGATCGAAAAAAAAACTATTT